TGGTGCAGATTTTAGGATAAGAAGCAAACAGCAGCTGGCTCCCACCCTCCCTCGCAGGTGGCCTTATGTCCGTGTGCTGAGGCCCGTGTCACAGCCTGTCGCATCTGCTCAGAGGGCTTTGCTCGTCAGTTACTTCTCTCCGCGCTCAGCAACAGCGTGATGCTTCCCCACAGCCACTTTCCCTGGGGGTTCGCCAGGGAACCGGGACTTCGAGACACTCAGGGCTGTGTGGGCTTGGGGATGGGTGCTGGGCCCGGTTTCCAGAGCATCACCCAATGGGGACCAGGAGGGCCCCCTGTCCTGTACTCTGGGCGTGGAGTGTCTGTGGTCCTGGATGGGGCATCAGTGACTGAGGTGTGTCCTCCTGTCCCTGCAGTCCTACACCACATATGGCCTCGAGTTAACACGCGTCACAGTGGTAGACACAGACATGCAAGTGGTTTACGACACCTTTGTCAAGCCGGACAATGAGATCGTGGACTACAACACCAGGTGCGCCAGCTCCCAGGGAGCCAGGATGCCGGGGCCAGACCCCTGCCCAGCTTCCACGTTAGGGATCTCTATCACCCTTCCCGGTGGCCTTAAGACCCCTGCCTTCTCCCACCCCAGGTTTTCAGGGGTGACGGAGGCAGACCTCGCCGATACGAGCATCTCACTGCGAGATGTCCAGGCCGTCTTGCTGAGCATGTTCAGCGCTGACACCATCCTTATTGGACACAGTCTGGAGAGTGACTTGCTGGCCTTGAAGGTACACAGCTCCCCAGGCCTTCTTGGGTTCTCAGAGGGCACTGGGCAGTCTGCCTGTCATCAACTTTCCTGGGCCAGGTGCGCCCAGCCCGCCAGGGGAGGGGAATGGTGTGGGGGGGTCTCTTCCCAGGCACTCCACATATCCCTGCCTGGACATTCTGCTCTGAAACCTTCCAGAGCCCTGGCACCTTTCCACCCTGATCCTCCCAGAGCCCTGCCTGGGGTTGGAAGCCGGCATGTCTAGCCCCTGATTCCCTGCCCCGCCCCCAGGTCATCCACAGCACTGTGGTAGACACATCTGTGCTCTTCCCGCACCGCTTGGGCCTCCCCTACAAGCGCTCCCTGCGGAATCTCATGGCCGACTACCTCAGACAGATCATCCAGGATAACGGTGAGTAGCTCGCCAGGTGGTGGGATGGTAGGGCAGCCCAAGGGGAGCCCACCCTGACTCTGGTTACCCGTCACCTGCCCACAGTGGACGGGCACAGCTCCAGCGAGGATGCCAGCGCCTGCATGCACCTGGTTGTCTGGAAGATCCGCGAAGACGCCAAGACCAAGCGGTGACCCGCTGCCGCCGCCTCTCCTGCAGCCCCGGCCCGTCCTCTACCCCAGGCCTCTTCCAAAACAGTGCAATAAATCTCGAGAGCTAACCCTGTCCACGTCGCCGAGCGAGACACGGGAACTGAGAGCATGGGACGAGCCAGCATCAAGAGAGCGCAGACCCGAGACCAACCCTGGAGCCCAGCCCCCGCCGAAGCCCCTTGTCCTGGCCCCTGCCGCTTGCCCCCCAGACCTCGTCCTCTGGAGACTGCTGCTTGTGTCCCCAGGCAGCACGACCACCTGTTCTGCCCCCTCTGTGCTGAGGGGGCAGGGGCAACAGGGCGGGCTTGGCTCGGGTTGGTTTGAGACAGGGGTAGTCTTTTGTTGTTTTGTATTGTTATTTTTATTATTTTTAATTTAAACCTGATGACTTGCACAGTTGTCTTCCCCCATCCCAAAGGAGCCAGACCCTGGTGCTGAGTCCCCACCTCCCAGGGGTGTGGGTGGGCTGGGAGCGGTCCAGCCCAAGCCTCCACAGCCACCAGGACCCAAGATTCCAGCTCAGCCTGGGCGGGTGGGAACCGGCTGCCCCCAGCCCACTTGGACTCCCTGACCTCCAGAACCCAGCCAGCCCTGCCCTCCACCAGCTTCCGGGGCCTGCAGGCCTCTGGGAACAGTCTTCCCATCAGAGCCCCAATACCCTCACCCCTTTCCGCACCCTTGGGCTGGGACAGAATAAATGTTTGTATGGATTTTAGATGATGCTTCTGGTGGTCCTTGTTGCCAGGTGAGGCCACACAGCTGCAGAGGTCATTGTTCCCTTCGAACTTGGTCATGTGCGCCTTCACAAGGTCCAGCCCGGCACCTGGGCTGCCCCTTGGGCCTGCCACTGTGCCGTGGGGTGCAGTGTTCCTGACCCAGAGCCCTGGGAGGCCTCAGGATTTCAGTCCACTTGGGGGTGCTGCCGTGGTGGACCAGTGGCCAAGGAATTGGCTTGACTGGCTGCTCTTCCTACCCACAGAGCTCTGGTGGTTTGGGGGACCAGGTTGGAGTTGGGGAGCAAGGAGAGGAAGAGAGCCACTATACATTGCATGTCTGAAAATCTTAACATAGAGGGAGGGTCAGCCCACTTGGAGCTCATTCTGGCTAGGGTTGGGAGGGCCAGGGCTGTACTGGTCCTATAAAAAAAAAAAGCCACAGGGCCTCCTTGGTGGCCTAAGGGCTAAGTCTCGGCACTACCACCGCGAAGTCCAGGGAGCTGGCCCTCAGGGTGTGGCAGACCTCTGTTTTGCCCACTCTTCCCCATCAGCAGTGTATTTCAGTAGATCCGTCTGTTCTGCTCCCCAATCTGTCTCTGGTGAATCCTCTCACCCCCTCCTGACACCCATGGCTACATCCCAGTTCTACACAAAATAAACCTTATAATAAAGGAATAATTCTAGGAAAAAGAAAAGTGTCTCCTGAAGCAAAGATGCTGAGGAGCCCAGTCCAGATGCTTGAGCACAAGGGGGCTGGGCAGAGCTGATGGGACAAGCCCCACCCCATTACTTGCTTTTGTGTGGTGGTTGTTTCCTCCCCTGCCCCAGTACAATGAACACCCTGGGGAGGCTGTGGGCAGTTACGGGGGAGCTCCTTCTCTTGCCCCTCATTTTCCTCTGCCCACCCAAGATCTCCCCTAAAGTCTGAGAATAGTCAAACTCCCTTCCCCTTGGGGCCATTCACATTAACTGCCGGGTAGACGCTGGATAAATATTTGTTGAGTGTTGAATGTCCACCTAGTGTCCCCCACATGTCCAGTAGGTATCCAGACCTGGCTTCCAAAGAATGTGAAAGGGAGTTTGCTGCTCCAAGGAGGTAGGGGGTTCAGATTGTGTGTGCTCTCCCACTCCCACCATTCATTCATTCACCCTACATCTGCCCATAGGTGATCGGAGGACGGGTGGACACTGACACTGGCTTGTTTCACTGGGCCAGAAGAAGAGTCCTCCAGGCTAGGGGGGGACAGGTGGAAACTGCCTGGAGCCCCCTCCTAATTTTCGTACTCAGAGGATTCCTAAAAGTGAAAATATGAAAAACGGAGCTTAATCATTTCCCCCACTCACAGAGGGGGCACTAAGTTACGTAGCCCTTCCATCATGCCCTTGCGTCCTGCTCTGGGCCCTCCCCTCCCCACCCAGGCCACTGCCCCAGTGTCGGCGCTGTCCTCCACCCCCATCATTTCCTTCAGAAAGGCCCCCAGGGCCTCCCCAGTGGTGCAGCAGGTTGAGTGCCACCCTGTGAGGCTGTCCACAGCCTCTGCAATGCGGGTTCGATTCCTGGCTGGCCAGGGAAATACCCACATGGCGCGGCAGACCTCTCCTGACTTGCCCTCTGCTCCCCTCAGCAGTGTCCGGTCCATCTGCCTGTTCCGCTCCCTGCTCTGTCTCTGGTGAGTCCTCTCACCCTCCCATGCCTCTAACCTGTACCCCAGTTCTCGTATAAATAAATCTTTTTTTTTTTTTTTTTTAAAAAGGCCCAGAGCCGCGCCCCCTGCAAGGTGGGTATACATTCGGGACAGAACCCTGCGTGGGCTTCCTCCTGCGGTCAGGACTATCTTCACGGCTGCAACTGCACTAGGATGTGCTCATTTAACCGCTAAGGGATGAGACAATCGGACTCAAGCCCCGCCCCGTACACCTGCGAGCCCCAACGCGTCCTTCCACTGCCGCCGCCGGCGGCCCGCGCCACCCGCTCCTACCCTGACCCGCAGCGCCGCTCCCCGCACCCCTCCCGGCACCCCCTCTGGCCTCGCACTGCCCTTCCCCGCCCACACCCGGGAGGCCCGCCCATGGCCGCGGGCCCCGCCCGTCCACCCTCTGCATCCCGTCTTCTTCCCGGGCCCCGCCCCCGAGGCCCTGTCCTCTCCCCCGCCAACCCTCCCTCAGGCCGCGTCCCGAAGCCTCGGCGCGCCCGGCCCCGCCCCTGCCCGGCGTGGCCCCGCCCGCCCGGCGTGGCCCCGCCCCCAGCCGGCGGCCCGGCCGCCTCCTCGAGATAGCCCCGCCCCCGTCTTCCGCTCCGCCCGCCCCGCCCTCGCCCCCCGTCGGCGCTGGCCCCGCCCCCGGGTCGGCCCACCTGCAGCCGCGGCCCGCGCCCGCGCCGCCCGTTTCAAGCCGGTTTCAGGCCCGTTTCAAGCCCGTTGGCAGCGGGCCAGCAGCTCCACCACGTCCGCCGCCCTGGCCGCCCGCGGGCCTCCCCAGGCCGCCGGGCCCGGCCGGCAGGTGAGCCGAGACCTCCGGCGGCCGTGCGTCCCGGCGCCCGCGCCTCCCTCCGGACCCGGCGGGCCTGGGGGCGGGAGGTCGCGGCGGCCGCGCCCCAGAGGTTCGCGCGGGCCGGGCCGGGCGACGGCAGTGCCCAGTGTCGGGGATCCGGGCGCCCCGCCGGGGAGGCCGGGCTTCCAACCCCGGGCCCTGCCTCTGCGGGCTGCGCAGGCACCGGCGTTCACGGGCGTCGTGGTGAGCTGAGGGGAGAGGAAGGTGGGCGAGCGCTCCGGGGGTCGTGACCTGCCCCCAGTAAACTCTGCGTGGATTCCGGCCATCTCAGCACCCCGTCAACCCCACACGTACCCCGGTAGCCCCTTCTCGGCCCCACTGGCTAAGCCCCGTTCAACTGAACTGAGCCTCAGTTTTCCTCACCTGCCGAAGGGGCCCCCGGCCCTGCTCGGCTCCCAGGAGCTCCAGAGCTGGCTCCGTGCCAGGCCTCCCCCGGGCCCCATGACTCAGGCAGGCAGAAAGCCCTCGGTGCTTCTGCTGATGGTCCAGACAGGGAGAGAAGCCGCCGAGAGAAGGTGATCAGAACTGGGATGGGGGACACCACAGGCAGAGGGGGAGCTCAGAGGAAGCATCCCAACAAGCCTGGACGGTCTGAGAAGTATAAACTGAAACCCAAATGGTGAGGAGGGCCTGAGCAGCATGTGGGAAGGGTGTTCCTGGCAGGGGGAACAGCAGACCAAGGGCTTGGAGATGAAGGAGCCCTGAGTGCTGTGGGGGCCGGGGTAGGGTGGGGTTGTCATTTCCAGCACTGCTGGTCAAGCGTGGTTTGCAGGGGCCAGACCAGTGACCCCTCCTGAGACTCTAGTTCCTGGCATCTAAGGACTAGGAGTGAATGATGGGAAGGTTCCAGGCTCTGAGAAAGGCCTGGTATCTGCCTCCATCTCTCCCATCACCATTTGCTGCCCCCAGACCACGCTCAGCCCTCAAGGTAGCTTGGACTCCTGCTACATGCTTAGGAAATATGCCTGCGCCCCGGGGCCCTATTTAGTCAGCAAACATAGAGCACCTAACCGGATTGGGCATTGTGTGCTGGGTGGGGATTGCGACAGGAGGGAGCAGCGTGGAGCCCCTGGAGGAGGTGGGTTTTGTCACCTCAGAAGAGGAACTGGGGACATGGGGGCTTGGACTATGGGCCACCTTGGGGGTCAGGAGCAGTGGCTAAAGGTAGAATCCTTCATTCTGAGTGGATCACTATAATGGGTGGCAGGTGAGGCAGCCTCATGTTGCCAGCTGGGGGGACTGGTTCATGGGAGGCTGCTGCAGGTTTAAGGAACACCCTGGAAACTGCCAAGCCAGAGGACGTCTAGGGAAGAACAAATAGCTGGTGGCTGAGCCTTCCAAGCCCAGGGAAGGGACAGCAAATGGACAGGGGGAGGTGACATTTTAGAGAAGGTCAATCCCAGGCTGTGTGTTCCTTGAGGGCAAAGTCATGGACAATGCCTGGCCAGGGAGAAGCACAGGTGTGACTTGGGCCTTTCTTCCCCACAGCCCAACCAGCATGGGCAGTCTTGCCCACCAGGAAGACTTTGAGGAAGAGAAGAACTCAGGTGCATGCCCTGGTGCCCAGGCAGGGAGCATGGACCTCCAAGGGAGAGTCAGCGAGTGGGGCCTTACAGAAGCTGAGGTGGGAGGGATCAGGGAGACCATCCTCCAAGCACATTCAACAGGCCCAGCAAGTAGTCCCAACCCCTGTGACTGAAGGTAGACTCGGGTTTCGCGGCCAGACATGGCTGTGTCACCCTGGCCGGCCATTGCTGCACCTCAGCTAGAGGCCTCTGTAGAAAGGATGGGTGTGAGCGGGTTCCCTACGGCCTGTTCTGAGGGGGAGGCCGGTCCACAGCTCAGATGTGGAGTGAGTGGGGGGTCCAGGGACTGCTCTTCAGCTCCACCAGCCCAGGCCAGGAGGACCTTCCAGTTTGTTTATAGGCTCCAATGCGCCCAGCCACAGACAGCAGCCTCCAGGGTCTGGGTCCCTGCAGGGCCCATCAGCCCTCCTCTGGGGTGTTGTTAGCCAGTGTTTGTGCTGGGCCCCGTACAGTACCCGCCCTTCTCTGGCTTCAGCATTCACCTGGGAGGTGAAGGCCAACGACCGGGCCTACAACAGTCAGTTCAAGGAGAAGGTCTTTCTGTGCTGGCAGAGGAAGAAATACAAGGTGGGTGCTCCTGCCCCCCAACCTGCTGGGGTTGAGCACCTCCCCCAGCAGAGCTGTTGGGATAAACCTGCAGGAGCTCGTTTGGGGGCTACGTGAGTTCTTCCTGTGCTCATATCAGCTTGACATTTTGATTATAACCATGAGAACTGTTGTGCCCCTTCTAACTGAATCGTCTGTTTGAGACTGGTTTCCCATGTCTCTTTGAATCAGTTCCTCCCCCCTGTTGGCTTTAAAATAAGTTAGCACATGACCTTTAAGTATGTTGTGTTCACCGGATATAACCTGAAATCCACTTGCGTATCTCATTTTGAGAAATACTGGCGTCGCAACCTGGCTGCGTGAATCTTTGCAGCCAGCAGACACTCAGTGCGAGGCTCCAGCCCTTGCGTTCGGCAGCTGCTCGGTAACACTGACCGAGGCCGTGCAGTCAGTAGACACTCGATGCTGGTGCTGTGCAGAGGGTGGGGTGAGGCCGGCCTGGGGCTGGTCAAGCGGTGGGGTGCCCTGGCTTGGGCAGTGCCCCCAGGCCTGCTGGCTGTCCTTCCAGACCAACATCATCCACACGGCAAAGTACAACATCTTCTCCTTCCTGCCCCTGAACCTGTACGAGCAGTTCCACCACATATCCAACTTCTACTTCCTCATGATCATCATCCTCCAGGTAGGCCAAGTGGGGGCAGCCCCAGGAGTTAACCCCTGCACCTCCCACTCCTGTGTCACCTCCTCTGGGAAGCCCTCCCTGACCACCTTCATCTCATGGCTCTGTGAGCCCAGGGAGCATTCAGCGGGTGTTCATCAGTGTGATCAGCATCCACCCCCTCAGATAGTGGATGCACCCTCCTTGCTGATAGTCCTCTGCCCAGCCCAGGCCCTGGCACACAGGGGTGCTCAACATGTGTTGGGTTCATGGGTGGCTCCTCTGCAAGTCTAAGGAGGGCAGGGCCCCTCCCCAGGATGAGCGGCTTTAGCCGCATGATGTCCTTGGCCTCAGCCCAATGAACTGGCCCCAAAGGACAAGGAGAAAGAAGGAATGGAGCGTGTCCTCAGGACCACTGGGTGTTTCGCAGCACTGGGGCAGCGTGGTGCAGGGCAGGGGCCGGCATCTGGTCCACGCCCCCTGCTCTGTCAGTGGTAGCCAGTGTCCAGAGCACCTGCCCCTGCCCAGCCTCTCCTTTCCGTTCTGAGTACAGTGAGAGACTCGGCTTTATCCATAGATCTCTTGAGAACCTACTGTGTGCAGGTTCTAGGATAGGTATTAGGGACCCACCAGTGGCCCTGACACTGCCTTCAGGTGGCTCAGAGGATGGTGAGGATGGCTTTCATGAGACTGTGTGGTGAGGGCCAGTGATAGGCAGGGCCTGCTGCCCAGGCTGGAGCGCAGACCTGAAGGGCGCACTGCAGTGGAAGGAGAGCAGGAGGGGTAGGGGCGGGCTTCAGGGGGAGGCAGAGAGCCAGGCCCTGAGGACGCACAAGCTTATGGTGGGGAGGGCTTCCCGAGGAGGTGAAAGGAATCTTGCCGGGGAGGGAGACATTGTGTGAGGGAATGTTCTGGGCATTGAGGGGAACCTAGAGGGACAATGTCCTTAGCCTCATGGGACGAAGTTGCTGGAGCCAGGGCCAAGTGGGCGCAGGATACAGGGGGCTGGGTGGGAGGATGGGGCTGCCCTGCAGGCTGGTGTGACCCAGACTCTATGACAGGGCTTCCCCGAGATCTCCACGCTGCCCTGGTTCACACTCTTTGCTCCATTCATCTGCCTCCTCGTCATCAGAGCGACCCGAGACCTGATGGATGACATAGTAAGTGGGGGCGGGGAGGGGGGCTGTCAGGGTAGTGTCCTTGGGACCTTGGCTTTTGGGGGGGCTGGGCCATTGGAGGTCATTGTGAATGGCTGTGCCCAGCCACATTGTGTGGCTGCTGGAGCCTGTCCTCTTGCTGGTGACAGTGGCCCAGAGGCAACGCCCCCCGGGAGGGTCCCTGGAAAGACTCAGCTATGGGTTGTGGACTGGCTGGGGGGTCAGGACCACCTGCATTACCTGGGAATTGTGGGGGCAGCGCCATCTCTCTGACTCCACCCCTGTTGGTGCAGGGGCGACACAGGAACGACAAAATCATCAACAACAGGCCCTGCCAGATCCTGCTGGGGAAGAGGTGAGGCTGTGGCTGGGGAGCCACACGGCAAGTGCACCCAATGGGGTCAGACATACCGGGGGGCTGCCTGCAGAGTGTCAGGCCCTTCCTCACTGCCGGGTGCACTGGGTTGGTCTGACAGGGAGGCAGGTCAACATTTCTTCTCTCTTTTTTTTTTTTTTAAAGATTTATTTATTTACACAAGCACTGGGTACAGTCAGAAGCTTGGGAGGGTGAGAGAATCCACCAGAGCCAGAGCGGGGAACAGAACAGGCAGACTGATGAAATACACTGCTGAGGGGAGCAGCGGGCGGCAGGAGAGGTCTGCGCGCCATGTGGGACCCTCGCCTGGTGGCTGGGGATCGAACCGGCGCTGCAGAGGCTGCGGGCAGCTTCACAGCCCAGTGCTCAACCGCTGCGCCACCAGGGGAGGCTCTTCTTTTCTTTTTTAAAGATTTATTTATTTATGCATGTAAGAACTGGGGTACAGAGGTGCGGGGAGTGAGAGGACTCACCAGAGACAGAGTGGGGAACAGAACAGGCGGATCCACTGAAACACACTGCTGAGGGGAGCAGTGGGGAGACAGGAGAGGACTGCTGCGCCATGTGGGTAGCTCCCTAGCTGGGGATCAAACTCATGCTGCAGTGGCTGCAGATTATAGTGCTGCATCTTAGCCCCTTGAGCCACCAGGGAGGCCCCCAGTTCAACATTTCTTAGGTGCCCTGTTGTTTCCCTGGCGGGGGCGGGGGTTGTAATACAGAATCTGATTGTTAGCCCTTGCAGAGCAGAGGGTTCAGCCAAAGGCGAGGGCAGGGAGAGTGTGAGAGGAGCCTGTGACACCCCTTTGGGAACTGAGTCCCCAAAGCACCATAGAGGAATCTGTCTGTGTATCCTGCTGTTTCAGCTGGGGGCGGGCACAGGGGCCGGGGTTCTGAGGCTATAGGTTCTCAGGGCCCTCCTGCCCGCTGCCCTTCCTGTCCTGCAGGTTCCTGTGGAGGAAGTGGACGAACATCTGTGTGGGGGACGTGGTCTGTCTCCACAAGGACAGCATTGTCCCGGTGAGCTGGGCAGCCCCTCTCTGGGCGGCCTGCCTGCTTGTCCTTCCAGCCCCCTCAATGCAGTTCCCTCCCGACGCCCCCAGGCTGACCTGCTGTTGCTGACCAGCACAGAGCCCAGCAGCTTGTGCTATGTGGAGACAGCTGACATTGATGGGTGAGTTAGTCATCATTTTGTGGGCCTAGCCTGGGGGCTTCCCCAGTTGCCGGAGGGAGCTCCCCAAGCTGACTTGGATATTTTGGTTATTCACCCCATGGGCATTTTATGGGGCACCTGTAAGTCAGCAATGGTGGCAAGATTGAACCAGAGCAAGAGATGCGCTTTCTTTGCATTAGCCTTTCTGGAGGCTCTCACGTGCCAGGCACTCCCCTGAACGCCACAGGCCTAGGATCGGGCCTCAGCCCTTTCGCCGAAGCCCAGTGTCCATGGGCAAGGCCCTCTCGTCCTCAACCCCCTGGTTGGCAGCTGGCATGCAGTAGGTGCTTGGAGAAAATGTTCAAATGACTATGGAAGGGATTTGGGGGTGCCTTGCCCAAGGGCTGTCTGCCTACCTGTGACCTCACCCCTCTTCTCCTTACCAGGGAGACCAACTTGAAGTTTAGACAGGCCCCACTGGTCACCCACCATGAGCTGACCAGTCTGAGGAAGATGGCGTCCTTCCAAGGTGAGTGTGTTGGGGGCCCCCTGTCTGCCCCTCCATGCCCTGCTGTGCTGGGTTTGGGAAGCGGATGAAACTGGGTGCGGGGTGGCAGGCACGGTCACGTGTCACCCGTTGATCTTGTTCATTCTCTGGCCTTTGGAGTCAGGATAGCTTTGACCAGCGTGGTGGAGGGTGGGGAGGATCAGGAAGGGCTTCCCGGAGGAGTGAGTCCTGGGGCTGGGAACAGTGTGTGCAGGGGCATGGAGAAGGGGTCCTCGCCGGTGCTCCTGGGAGAGGCTGTGTGGCAGAGGAGCCAGCAAGCCAGGCTTGGGGCAAAGCCAGGCCTGCAAAGGTGGCGTGAGCTGGAGGGTGGCAGGAACATCTCCCGAGTCCCATTCCCAACCCTGCATGGAAGAGGGGTGCAGAACCCAGCCACGCCCTTGGCCCCCTGACTGCCTGTCGCCCACAGGCAAGGTAGTATGTGAGGAGCCCAATAGCCGGATGCACCATTTTGTGGGCTGCTTGGAGTGGAAGGGCAAGAAATACCCGCTGGACAGTGGTAACATCCTTCTGCGTGGCTGCAAGATCCGCAACACGGACACCTGTTACGGAATGGTCATCTACGCTGGTACCGCTGCCCGCGCCCCGGCCACGGGCTGGCCTGGTGGGGGGAGAAGTCCTGACGCCCATGGCGGGATCACAAAACCAGGCCTGGCTCCCGCATGTTTGCTTGGTGATAGGGGGCTCCCGCTTGGTCTCTAGATCCTGGGTTCTGAAACTGGAAGTGGACATCCTGGGCCAGCTCCCTTGTTGTGGCTGGAAAAGTGGGGTGCTTGTATGCAGATGGGCAGGTAGACAGATGGATGAGGGTGGGCAAGTGGATCCGTGAATGGATGGATGGGCAGACCGGGGGGTGGATGGAAAGATGCGAATCCTGCAGGTTTTGACACAAAGATCATGAAGAACTGTGGCAAGTTCCACCTGAAGAGAACCAAGATCGATCTCCTGGTGAACAGGCTGGTGCTCGTGGTGAGCTGTCCAGACCCCTGGCCTGGGGTGGAGGTGAGGGAGGAGGGAGGAGGGTCCCGCCCCACAGACAGAGCCTGGGCTCCCTCTCCAGGCCTCACGGCGTCTCTCCTCTGCAAAACGTGCGGCCGGATCTTCCGGGCGGGTCGGTGAGCCAGAGAATCTGTTCTTGAAATAACAATTTTAAAAAATGTCTTACAAAATCAATTTTGATCTTGACTTTTTCCAAGCCCATGGCAAATAATAAAATGCTCACCTGTCTTCCATTGACCTTTAACGCTCCTTAACTTTTTACCCAATGAGCTTTATCTTTTTTGGTCACTGTAATTATCGTTTCAAAAACAGCAATCACAAAGCAGAGTTGGGGCTGGGGGCTTCCCACCCCCACATTTGCTTTGTCACACTGAATGTGTCCCCGTTGGTGAGTCCCTGGGGTGTCCTTGGTGCCACCTTGGGCCTCCCCCACATGGTCCGCCCTCCCGTCTGTGGTACAGATTTTCCTGTGCCTGGTGCTGGTCTCCATGGCATTGACCTTGGGCTTCAGATTCCAGATCCAAGAGTTCAGGGACAAGCACTACTACATACCCTACGAGCACACCCACAGTGCGCTCATGGAGTCTTTCCTCATCTTCTGGGGCTTCCTCATCCTGCTCAGTGCCATGGTGCCCATGGCCATGTTCATCATGTAAGCCCCCTCACCCCGAGCCATGCCCCACGGAGAAGCCTGGCAGGGGCCAGCCTGTGACTGATATGTGTTTGCAGCGCTGAATTCATCTACCTGGGGAACAGCATCTTCATTAACTGGGACGCACAGATGTACTATGAACCGAAAGACCTACCCGCCATGGCCCGCAGCACCAGCCTCAACGACCAGCTGGGCCAGGTGGAGTACATCTTCTCCGACAAGACCGGTACCCTCACCCAGAACATCATGACCTTCAAGAAGTGCTGCATCAATGGCTTAGTCTACGGTGGGACCGCACTCCGCTCAGCCCCTTCCTCCTTGGGGCTGCCCAGCTCTTCCCCTAGCAGCGGCTGGCCTTAGGGGCGCTATGCCCTAAGATCTCAATGGGTGTCTAACTTGGCCTCAAGTTCACCCCATATCCAGCACCCCCAGCCCAAACTTGATTCCCATGGTGCCCTCTTGTTAGCTGCGAAGCCTCTTGGGCCGTGGTCTCTGTCGAGACGGCTCACCCTGTGTCCACAAGGGAGCAGCTGGCCAACACCCCTTTATTTGTGGATGCTGAATTTCAGATTTCATGCCATTTTCATGTGTCATGAAATAGCATTCTTTCTAACTTTCACAAACCTCTTTGTGGATGCTGAGATCTGAAGTTCCTAACATCTTCACATGTCACAGAAAGTAGTATTTTTCTTTTCGTCTTCGCAGACCTTGACTGTGGACACTCATTTTTTTTAAGATTTATTTATTTTTGTACAAGAGCTGGTGTACAGGCCACGGGCACGGGAGGGTGAGAGGATTCACCAGAGACAGAACAGGGAGCAGAACAGGCAGACGACAGAAATACACTGCTGAGTGGAGCAGCGGGCGAGACAGGAGAGGTCTGCTTGCCATGTGGGCATCTCCACGGCTGGCGGGGATCAAACTGGCGCTGCAGAGGCTGTGGACTGCTTCACAGCGCTGCGCTCAACCGCCTGCGCCACCAAGGAGGCCCAAGGGACACTCTTTTTGAATTTCATAGCATTTTCACATATCTCAGGATAATATTCTGGCACTCTCCCCTCCCCAGCTTCTGAAAATGTAGAAACCACCCTTAGTTTGCAGCCTGTGTGTGGCCACAGTTTGCGGCCTGTAGTTTGCCAGCCCCGGCCTAGTTTCCAGTCAGCCACGTGCTGCTTAATGAGGTTTCGCTCAACTGCAGCCTACACATGTGACGGGGGCCCAACAGTCTCCACCACGCAGCCGAGGCGGCTGGCGGCTGGACCACTGAAGTTCATGTCCTCACACACTATGACATTTGCCCACTGACAGCCAACCTAGCAAATGCCTGGTGTAGTTGGCCATCATCGGTGCTGGAAGCCAAAATGGGCTAGTCCCACCGACCCTCAGCCAGGGAGCAGTGGGGTGTGTGGCAAAGCAGAGTCAATACCAGGCTAGGTCTTCTGCTGTTTCTAGAAGTGCTATGGAACCAGGTTAATATGTGGAGTCACCTAAATTTTGAAGTAGGCAGCCAAGTTCAACTTCTAAAAAGACAGCACAGGAGGGCAAACAGGATGTATTTCCCAGGCTGGTTCCCACTCCATCTGCCCCTCCGAGACCCCCATGCAACAGGATGCGGCCATGCCGTTTGCTTTTTTGTATAGAGGGTCCTCGGTGGTTTGCGATGTCAGGTCTGGCTTATCTGGCTATAGGTGACAGCGTCAGGAAGTCTGACCATGGGAGGGGGGCAGGGGCTGCAGGACCCCATGTGGATCCCAGAGAGCTGAGGCCTGAAGCAGAGTCTTTCCCTAGGTCCAGACGAGAAGTCCTCATACATGGTGAGTCCCGGTCGCCCTGCAGCACTGATGGTTAGGGGAACGGCATGGGCAGTGACCAATCCAGAGCTGGCCCATCCCCCTATCCTTCCCCCAGGTGAACCCCTACCTCTGGAACAAATTTGCTGATGGGAAGTTGCTCTTCTACAATGCTGAGCTCCTGCATGCTGTGCAAAGCAAGAAGGACAAGATGGTGCAGGAGTTCTGGCGCTTGCTGGCCATCTGCCACACTGTGATGGTGCAGGAGAAGTGCAGTGAGTCACAGTGGGCTGCCCCCTCCTCTTCCCCACTGTAGAGGGGATCCCGGCCCATGTCCCACACCCCCACCTGGACTGGAGGGGCCTTAGACCTGGTGGCAAGCGGGGAAGGGGACATCATCTAGACTGCGCTCCAAGTATCCACCTGCCTTTGCTGGGCTTAGAGGTTGTCCAGGAACAACAGACCATCATACCATGACTACTTGATGAGCCCCTGCTCTGCCCGTTTGCTCTCGGGTGCTTTGGTGATGGGGCCGAGGTCTGCCACAAGTGGGTGGCGCCGTGCCCAGCACCAGCTCCCAGTGTGTGCGCCTGGCCCCGCCCCCAGCGCGTCTTCCATTCCCTCGACAGACCAGCTGTTGTACCAGGCAGCTTCCCCGGATGAGGAGGCGCTGGTCACAGCAGCCCGGAATTTTGGCTACGTGTTCCTGTCCCGCACCCAGGACAGCATCACAGTGATGGAGCTGGGCAAGGAGCGGGTGTACAAGGTCCTGGCCATGATGGACTTCAACAGCAAACGAAAGCGGATGTCAGTGCTGGGTGCGCCTCTGACTCCTGCCCCCGTTTCTCCGCCCCAGGGCGGGGGTGGGTAGAACCAGAGCACAAGTGGGCAGTTGGGCTTTTCCCTCCACAGTCCGCAACCCCGAGGGCGCCATCTACCTCTACACCAAGGGCGCTGACACCGTCATCTTTGAGCGCTTGTGCAAGAAAGGCGAGATGGAGTGGACCACAGAGGAGGCCTTGGCTGTGAGTCCCTGTGGAAGGGGAGGCAGGAGGACAGAGAATGAAGCCTTGAGGAAGGGGAGGGCGAGGGGCAGGGACAGGTGGAAGAGGGAGTGGAAGAGGAGACGGCGCAGAGAAATGGCTGCAGGCGCCACGGTGGCCATGCACAGTGGACCAGGTTGTGCACTGCACAGCGCCCCCTGCCCCCGCCATGCCCTCACCACCAGGGGCTGGAGGAAGCTGTACTTCTACCAAGGACCCCTTCTGGTTGAGTGTAGGCCGTGGCAAAGGGCAGCGAGGGTGTTGGCGGGGGGGGGGCGGCTGTCAGACGGGCAAGGCCTGCGGGTCCAGGCAGAGGGAGAAGGGCAGCAGCCGGAGTAGTGGGGGGGAGGCAGGGCGGTGACAGGCTGGTGTGTCCCCAGTCCTTTGCCCAGGAGACCCTGAGGACACTGTGCCTGGCCTACAAGAAGGTGGACGAGGAAACTTACGAGGACTGGCACCAGCGGCACCAGGAGGCCAGCATCCTGCTGCACAACCGGGCCCAGGCCCTGCACCAAGTGTATGAGGAGATGGAGCAGGACCTCCAGGTGAGCGGAGCAAGGACGGGAGGGGTGCCAGCACCCCGGCTCCAGCCCTGGGAGGTCCACCCTGCCAGCCGGGTCCCTGCTCAGTCTTTCCCTGCCCCTCCCCCCTAGTTGCTGGGAGCCACAGCCATCGAGGACAAACTCCAGGATGGCGTCCCTGAGACCATCCAGTGTCTCAAGCAAGGGAACATCAAAATATGGGTACTCACAGGGGATAAGCAAGGTGGGTCCCAGGGCGGCTGCACCCAGCGTGAGAAGGGGATGCAGGGGGCAGATTGCTCACGGCCACCAGGGAGACCAGTATCAGAATGTCCGGAGACAGCACCGCCCTCCTGATTGTTCCTGGGGAGAGAGGAGCAGTAACAACTAAGAAGGCCTCGGTCCCCCACACCGTATCCCTTTGGGCTGGTGCTGTGCTGAGTGCTTCCTGGGCATCTGGCACATGAGCAAGGGTCCTTGTTACCCCTCAGTGACAGGTGAGCACTGTGGGGCCCAGGGAGCTCAGGTCCCCTAACTGAGGTGGCCCAGAGACACAGGAGCCTCAGGTCTTTTGCCCCTGGAGCCCTGACTCTCCCAAATCAATCCCCCTACATGTTCTTGGAGACCCCACTATACCTGGGTGCCCACAGGGCTGCATTAGGACTTCTGTCCTGGAACCCTACCCCCCCCCCCAATATTTAAAAGTTTTGTCCAAATAAAGAGAAACTAGACTGGACTCTTCACCTTCCTCTTCTTCTGATGATTTTTTTTTTTTTAAGATTTATTTATTTTTGTACAAGAGCTGGGGTACAGGCCAGAGGTATGGGAGGGTGAGTGGATTCACCAGAGACAGAGCGGGGAGCAGAACAGGGAGATGACCGAAATCCACTGCTGAGGGGAGCAGCCGGCGAGACAGGAGAGGTCTGCCGCGCCATGTGGGTAGCTCCCTGGCCGGCCGGGAATGGAACCCGCGCTGCAGAGGCTGCGGACCGCTTCACAGTGCTGTGCTCAACCCACTGTGCCACCGGGGAGACCCGCTTCTGATGATTTTAAAGGAAATAAATCATTTTTGTGGGTCACTAAACTTACCAGCCGGCCCCAAGCATGGGACATGTGATGTGTCCTCCTAGAGAGAAGGGCCCTTGCTCAGAGCTGCCGCCAGAGTCTCAGGTCCGGCTCGCATTGGCCAGCCTGGGCCACATGTCGTCCTCGGGTCCATCACAGTGGCCAGTGGCCAGTGGCCGGGGCAGGGCAGGCTGGTGATTGGTGGGGGTCTGAGTCTAGTGGCAGGGCGGGTGCGGCCACCAGGGGGCGCTGCTGTGGGGGACTGAGCCTGTCTGGTTTGCAGAGACAGCTGTGAACATAGGCTTTGCTTGCCATCTGCTCTCCGAGAACATGCTCATTCTGGAGGAGAAGGAGATAGTGTAAGGTGCTGGGCTTGCATGTGGGGTGGGGAGATGCTACCCCTGGCGGAGATGCTACCCCTGGCGGAGATGCTACCCCTGGGGATCTGCAGAGTGCCCTTAGCCTGTACCCAACCAGATGCCCAGAGGCCTACCTCCCACTCCAAGATGGATGGGGAAACAAGGCATAATGGGGGGAGGGCTGGAGAAAGGTTGTGCCTGACCCCCCTTGGGTCCCCCGCAGTCGCATCCTGGAGACCTACTGGGAGAGCAACAACAACCTGCAGAAGACGACGGGACATCTGGACAACAAAATCTTGCCAAAGGTCAAGATGGCCATGGTCATTAACGGGGATTTACTGGTCAGTGCCAGCTCAGGGCCCAGGGCAGGGTCTCTGGTACTTCAGAGGGGGCTGGGAGGAGCATCAGGCTGGGGGTGGGGACCCCCTGCCACCAAAAGGGCCCCAGCTAAGTCAAGAGATTGTTCTCAGAGGGACTGGAAGGAGGGAGAGCGCCATCAAGTCCTGCAGGGTTGGGACAGGAGGCCTGGGGCGGGTGTCAGCTTGGGGGTTTGTTCCTAGAGGGAAGAGGTGCAGGCAGAGTGATGTGCCTCCCCCATGTTGCCATCCCTGCCGGCCAGGACCAGCTGTTCCTGTCCCTGCGCAAGGAGCCCGGGGTCCTGGCCCACAACATGGACGAGAGCTGGGAGGAGCCCGGGGAGCAGAAGGCAGACTTCCAGCAGACCCAGCGGGTGTCCCTGGTATGGCAGATCCTTGGGCTGCAGCGGAGGAACACGAGGCTGGCACCTCATGACCAGGAATCCAACACCAGCGAGAAGCTCGAGGTGCAGCGGGAACGGGCTTTTGTCAGCCTGGCCTTGAAGTGCCAGGCGGTCATCTGCTGCCGGGTGACCCCCAAGCAGAAGGCCTTGATGGTGGCGCTGGTTAAGAAGTACCAGAAAGTGGTGACCCTAGCCATCGGGGACGGTGCCAACGATGTCAACATGATCAAGAGTGGGTGCCGGGCTGCAGGGCCGGAGGGGGCGACCCACTGGCGGGAGGCTGGGACCGACAGGCTGTGTGTGTCCTCGCAGCTGCAGACATCGGCGTGGGGCTGGCCGGCCAGGAGGGCATGCAGGCTGTCCAGAGTAGCGACTACGTGCTGGCTCAGTTCTGCTTCCTGCAGAGGCTGCTGCTGGTGCACGGACGTTGGTCCTACATGCGCGTCTGCAAATTCCTGCGTTATTTCATCTATAAGACGCTAGCTTGCATGATGGTGCATATCTGGTTTGCTTTCTACAGTGGCTTCAGTGCCCAGGTATGCTGGTGGGGGCTGTCTCTGGGGCTGCGGTGTCCTTCCCGAGGGTCTCCATGGGGTGGGGCCTACCCAGGGTCTCCGGACAATGCATAATTTTTGTGTGGCTTTATTCATAGAGGTGTGGAATCCAGAAAAAGGGAGGGGAAGGTACCTGCCCAGCCCTCACGGCTAGCATTTTCAGCGATATTTGGCGTATTGGAGCTTTGAAGCAAGTACAGGGCACATGGTCTCGATGTCACTCCTTCCGGGGAGGAGGGCTGGAAGATAACAGCGAGAGAAGATAAGACTTGGGGGTGGGGGCTGGATCCCCCATTTCAAGGCCCTGGAGATTATCATGGTGAAGGCAATGTGCTGTCTGGACCCTTAGAAAAGTCTCAGGGCAGTGATTTCCGCTTCGTTTCAGGAACTTTTCTGCAAACGGATGAATAGAGAGGGCCTGGCGTTTGAGAGGGAGCATTGTGCCAACAGCTTCGAGAGATGCATATTTATATTGTTTGTTGCTTTGCTTTTCAATTTCTAGATATTTTATTCTTGGAGATGCTACTGTAAATGGATGTATTAGCCTAGTTCCCTGTTGGTTTTGCACAGGGCGGGGATATAGAAACACAACTAATTTTTCATGCCAGCCCGTGCCCTGCGATGCCACTGATTGCCTTTGTTGTCTCTAGTAACCTTCTCTCACTAGATTGTTGATCTTCTGCAAAAAGCCTTGTGCCATCTGCAAAGAGAGATCCTTGTACACCCTTTCTGGGTGTCTTTCATTTCTTTGTTATACGTGGTTTCAGGCTAGGCCTCCTGGCACATCGGACAGCAGGGGTGAGAGCGGCCTCTTGGTCTCAGTCCTGATTTTGCGGGGACCAACAGCTGTCTCGGCTCTGTCTCTCTGCATTTGTCAGCTGGAAATCTTCTGTAGGATGAACTATTCCTTTTCCTTCACTTCTTCATTCAATTATTTATTCAGCTCAGCGTGGACAGTTCTTTTATTTTGTTGCTCCAATTGTCCCGGTTTGCCTGTCTGACACGTGTCTGCTGTTCTCTGAGCAAATGATCCTTTTCTGGCACCAACAGGTTCTGGGCTCATTTGGACTTTCATTGCCCCAACCCCGGGGTTAACTATTCCTGCAAGGACCTCTGCTTTTCGCCCCCTTTCTTAAAGATTTATTTATTTTTGCATAGGGGTGTAGGCCAGAGTTGCCCAGGGGGTGGTGGTGAGAGGATTCACCAGCGACAGAGTGGGGAGCAGAACAGGCAGACTGACCAAAGTACACTGCTGAGGGCCTCCCCGGTGGTGCAGCGGTTGAGCGCTGGGTTGCAAAGCTGCCAGCAACCTCTGCGGCGCAGGTTCGATCCCTGGCTGCTCCCCGGCCACCAGAGGAGGGTCCCACATGGCGCGCAGACCTCTCCTGCCGCCCGCTGCTCCCCTCAGCAGTGTACTTCGGTCCTTCTGCCTGCTCTGCTCCCCGCTCTGGTCTGGTGAATCCTCTCACCCTCCCGCGCTTCTGACTGTACCCAGCGCATGTATAAACAAAACGAACGAACAAACAAACAAATAAATAAAAACATGCCTCTATTAAAAAAAAAAATCTGGAAAAAAAAAAAAAACAAAGTACACTGCTGAGGGGAGCAGCGGGGAGACAGGAGAGGTCTGCTGCGCCATGTGGGTAGCTCCCTGGCCAGGGATGGAACTCATGCTGCAGTGGCTGCCGATAGCTTGATAGCACTGAGACTAACCCCTAGGCCTCCAGGGAGGCCCTCTGTTTTTTTCTTCCAAGAGAGACACCAAGATCTAAGTGCTTGGTGCAGTCACTGCTGCCAGGAAGCAGTGAGCATCAGGGACTCAGACTTCTTGCTGTGCTGTGGGGCCCATGGTGAGCCTTGCCCTAGGTCAACTCCTCGGCCTAAATATCTTGAATAATCTCATGCCAGCCTTGACCCCGAGGCTACCCTTGAGTGCTGGATGCAGGACTGGGCACAGGTCCTAGCTGAGGCCAGGCCACAGGTGGGCGTTGTTCTCCAGCTGCCCCAGGCAGAGCCTCGCTCCGGGACGCATGCGTCTTTGGTTAAGAGCATTAGTTGCAGTCGGCGTTGGCCCCTGTCTGCAGGATCAGGGCTCCAGTTGGGTGCTGCCATCACCTAGTTATCCTCAGGGGCTGTTAACTTCGCTCTGTCGCAATCGGTTGTGAGAATGTGCAGGAGACGAGCCGCTGTCTTCGCTGTTGCCATCTCGGCAGACTCTCCAAGATGTGTCTGTGGCTGGTCTTTGGCCTTTGAAGCTGACACATTCCCTCCCCTCTCCCCTCAGCCCCTGTACGAGGGCTGGTTCCTGGCACTCTTCAATCTGCTCTACAGCACCCTGCCTGTCTTCACCATCGGGCTCTTGGAGCAGGTGAGCCTCACCCCAGGATGCAGGTGCTCCCGTCTCTGCTCTGGCCCTGCCTCTCCACCCGAAGGGAGGGCGCCCTCATGCCTAGCCCCACCCTCTGTGGGAGCCTCCAGTCCCCAAGTCCCTGTCCCACTGTCTGCCCATCTTCACAGTTAGGATCGGGGGTGAGAAGAGACAGTTCTCCTGGTAACCCCACCCGCGGCTCTGAGAGACCCTGGATAAGTGACCCTGACTAGGGTGGTCGAGTAGAACTTTCCAGATGATGGAAATATTCCATACCCATGCTGTACAGAGAGGGAGCCACCGGCCATGTGGTTAAGGAGGGGAATTTAAAGCATGGCTGGCTTGACCTGAGGAGCAGATTTCTCATTTCACACCATTAAAAAATTTGATTTTTATTGTGATAAAATACAAATAACATAAAATTCACCATCTCAACCATCCGTAAGTGCTCGTTCGGAGCACTGGGAACAGCCATGCACACTTGCATTGCTGTGCAGCCTGCCTACAGACTCACCATTCCACTTTATCGTCATCCACTTAAATCCAACTTGCCATATGTGGCAAGTGGCCACAGAAGGGGCCACCCCTGGGCTGCCTTAGCTCTCCCTGCCTGCAAGAGCTCGCCACATGCCCCTCCCCAGGACGTGAGCGCAGAGCAGAGCCTGCAACTGCCAGAGCTGTACATCGCGGGCCAGAAGGACAAACTCCTAAACTACAGGGTCATTCTCCAAGCCATCGCCCACGGCATATGCACCTCCCTGGTCAATTTCTTCATGACCTTGTGGATCTACGATGACATGGCCTGGAATGCCAACCTGAGCGACTATCAGTCTTTCGCAGTTGTCATGGCGCTGTCGAGCCTGCTGTCCATCACCATGGAGGTAGGCGGAGCCCCTGGATCACACCCCCACACTGGGCATCTGGCATAGGGCCACTGAGGTCTAGTGGCCCTGCCTTGGGGGCCTCACCGGGTGCCTTTGTGGTTCGGGGTCTTGACATCCCACCCCCCTCTAGGGCTCGCTACTCTCCCAGTTGACGTCTCCCTCCCCGGCCAGGTTATCCTCATCATCAAGTACTGGACAGTCCTGTCTGTGCTGGCCGTCCTCCTCAGCCTGTGCGCCTATGTGGTCATGAGCTGGGTCACCGAGAGCTTCTGGCTCTTCAGAATCTCCCCCAAGACCTTCTCATTTCTGTGTGAGCCCCCTGAGCAGGGGATGGGGTGGTGGGCCTGGAGGCGGGCACACACATGTCTGGGCCTCACTTGGGCCCTCTCTCGACTTCCACTCTGTTGCTACACTTTGGGAATTTGCACAAAGGCCCCCTTGGGGTGGAGGGGGGTGAGATGGTGGTGTGGGGGGCAAGGAGCAGGTTCTGGAAGGCCCTGTCTTGGGGCCGTGCTATGACCCTGCCCTGTCACCAGACACTAACCGCAACATGCTGGGCCACCCCTTCATCCTGCTGGTCATCCTGTTGAACGTGTCCTTAAACACCCTGCCGGTGCTGGCCCTGCGCATCATCTACCAAACCCTCAAGAAGCCATGCCCTAAGGTGAGGGAACCCCAGCTCCTACTACTTATTCCTGGGATCCTGCCAACTGGAGTCTACACTGGGAACAAGGACTCCAAAGAGATGTGGGGACATACCCAGGATCCTCAGCGGGCCAAATAATGGTCCCTAGAATACAGGCAACTGAGTGCTAGGAAGGTCAGCCTCGTTCCAGTACCGACACCGTCAAACTTCTGTCCCACATCATCTGGGGGTTGGGGTCAAGATGATAGAAACTACCCAGAAAGGGTTTACAAAAAAAGAAAGAACTTAAAAATAACGCAAGTGTCCATCCAAAGATGAATGAGCACACTGTGGCCCAGCTGCATACTGGAGTAGTACTCAGCCTCGAAGAAGAAGGAAACTTGACACAGCTACAGTGGGGATGGACCTGGTGGGCATAAGCCAGTGAAACAAGCCAGACACAAAAGGACACACACGGTGTGACCCGCTCCCAGGAGGGCCGTAGGGGAGTCACAGCCACAGGGACAGGAAGGAGATGATGGTGCTAGGGGCTGGGGGAGGGGAGTTAGTATTTAATGGGGATAGAGCTTCAGTTTGGGAAGATGAGAAAGGCTTTTTTAGAAGTTTTTATTTTTTGCATAGAAGACCTGGGGTGTTGGCCAGAGGTGCAGGGGTGAGAGGATTCACCAGAGACAGAGTCGGGAGCAGAACAGGCAGATCCACTGAGGGGAGCAGTGGGGAGACAGGAGAGGTCTGCTGCACCCTGTGGGTAGCTCCCTGGCTGGGGATGGAACTCCGGCCGTAATGGTGATTGTGCTGAGACTTAACCCCACGCCACCAGGGAAGCCCCAAGATGAGAAAGTTTTGAAGGAGGATGCTGTGCAACAGTGTGAATGTACTTAATGCCACTGAGCTGTACACTTAAAAATAATTAAGATGGCAAAAGGGGGGGCTTACTGACCCACATAACCAAAAGGTGGGTTGCAGCTGTGTTGGACCCCAGAATTAAATACTGTGGTGGAGTAAGACAGCCACAAACCTGCCACTTTCTAGCATAGGCTGGAGAGGTGGCTGCCTCACCTCTGTGCCGCCTGAGGTCCCCAAGGCCCTAGAGTGAAGTCCCAGAGAAGGACTCTGGTTGGTTAATAAAAGCCAAATCCCAGGGAGACTCTAGGGATTGCTTAGGGAGGGGCCTGGCCAATCAGTAGTGGCCAAGGGCTCGGAATGGCCCCCACTGAGGGAGGCAGGTGACCCCAGAACAGTCAACACGGGTGGGAGCCTGATGACTCTTGCCCCCCACTTTGCTCTGTAGGTGGAGCTGGAGGCCCCGAGCGAGGAGATCTTCACAGTGGAGCCTGCGCACTATTTACAGCGGGAATCGCATGCCCGGCGCTCCAGCTACGCCTTCTCCCACCGCGAGGGCTACGCAGACCTTATCACTCAGGGCACAATTCTGCGGAGGACAGGGGGCGCCAACAGCATCCTGGTGGACCACAGGATGCCATTTGATGACCCGCTGCCCTCGAGCCAATATGAGTTGCCACGGAGCCAATATGAGTTGCCACGGAGGCGCTCCAGGAAGATGTCGGGGCTGGGGAGGAAGCACAGGCACAGGGGACTGGCGCTCCCCGAGGAGGTGCAGCCTGCTTCCGGGGCTGCCTCCTCACTGACAGTGACAGCGCAGTCCCTTTCTTATTTTGAAAACAGATTCTCCATCTCCAAAAACTTGCCCCCCACTGCAGACTGGCAATCTGGGTCTTTGCAGGAAGATGCATAAACAACGATGACGCAGGAGTCCCCACTATGGCACGAGCACTGATTTCTAAGAGTCACCATCAACCAAGAAGAGACCAGCGGACCTCCCTGGAGAAGCCCCCCTGGCGCAGAGAAAGTCAGCTGCCACCTTGTGAGAGTCAGGCACAGCTCTCAGAGTCCACCAGCACCCCTAAGAAGAGTGTCCCTTTGGATGATTTCATGACTATGTATCTGGCAAAAGGAGCCCCCCAAACAGGGGTGGTGGTGCTTCCCCATGAGATGCAACCATCTCTGGTGGGAACTGCGAGGTGGGAGAATCATCTGCAAGGGAGTAGGCCATGAGGTGGAACCCAGATGGCAGAGGCAGCTGGCCTCCAGACACATGTGCCCAGAGAGAGAGAAGCGCTGCCAGTCTCCAGAAGGTGGTGACTCCCCAGGCTCAGAGAGGTCAACCAGCAGGCACCAGGTCTTTTCTGGGAGACACAGGCTCCGCACCCCTTTTTCTAATAAATTGGGGTTCCATCTGACCCCAGGGCTCATTCTTCCTTTTTTTTTTTTTTTTTTTTTGGTGAGACTACATGAAATTGCCTCTCCCAGTTTAAAAAAATCAAAAACACTGACCTCTAGTGACCCAGTGGGGGATTTGCAGGGAAAGCTTTTTCTTCATGGTGGGGTAAGTGATATAGATAAAGCTTTCTGGCTCTTGAAGGGACAAGAGTCTGAGAAGATTATGCCCAGCAGCCCTGGCTCCCAGCTTGCCGCCTGCTGACACCTCCCACAGCAGCTTATAAGGCCCAATTCTGGTACCCACCTAGACTCACCCCCAACCAGCATGCCCTGGTTTATTTCCCCAAATTCAACCACCTCACACTTCAGGCTCCAGAAAGCAGTAGGCAGGGATGCCTCAGAAGCAGGCCCTAACAAAATCCTCATATTGAGACCAGGTTGGTGCCTGAGTTCTGTGGGGTTGGGGGCTCAGAGAGGACCAAGCCAAGAAAGAGGCAGGTTTTGGAGAGGAGAGGGGTAAGCTGGGAGAAGGTGGGCTTCTGCTTCCATCACCGGCTTCCTCCTGCTCCATCTTCATGGTGGATGAACCCCACTCCTTCCTGTCCTGCACCCTGCTCCCCAGTTGGTCAACACACATGCTCGGTGAGTGACTAGAAAATAATTTATTGGAACAAAACAAAACATCCAGCACTGCAATGGTTAACAATAATGACGATTAAAAAAGCAAAAAACGTTTAGGCCTGTCACCTGAAGGTGAACCGAGAGGGCTTGTGTTCCCTCTAACATGGGGGAGGGCACTTTGATCCAAATAGTGTCTCCCTGGAAAGCGGCCCTAGTGTCCAGTCTTGATTAAATCACCCAGGGCCACAGGGCCTCCTGAGCCTCCCTCTCCCCTGGCTGAGACAATCCTTCCAAAGACCAGCCCTTGGGGGGTTCTGCTGGGGCCACGAGGAGTTCAGGTATTTGCTGGGCTGGTTTGGGTCAAACTGCTTGGGCAGAGGAGCTTCACCGGCCCAAGTTCCAGCTGGAGCCTGGGCTTCCTGGGAGGGTCCCTGGAGCATACCTTGCCATCCCCCCCACCCCCCACCAGGTCCAGCCCTCCAAACTGAGGCCTTCTGTCCTTCAGGGGGTGAGGGACTCCCTTTGGCTACCCCAGTCCGTCCTTCCTAGAGTTTGTCCTGGAAAGTGGGCTTTCCCCCGGTAGGAACGTGAAGGGCCTTGTGGTAGAAGTTGTGTCATAGGCATTGAGACTGTCCCGGCATCCCTAGAATGATGTGGGGCCCCTTCTGTTGTCTAGGACCCCAACTTGGGTGGGAGTGTGTGCATCCCCCCACCTCCCAGGCCTGACGGGTAAACTCATGCCCCCTCAGGGCCCAGGAGACTGAGTGTGTCTGGGTGGAGCCTGGGCGGTGCCTGCCCAGGGAGGGGGGGCAGTCTCACGAGAGCCCTTTGGATCTGGGGAAGTTGGGGTGCACCCCAGCCCCTTACCCATGGGCAACAAGACTCAAATCAGCTGATTGTCTCTCTCCTCTGAACAAGACACTTTGGAATTCATGCTAATGTGAAACCAGCCAGGTGGGAGGCAGGGGTCTGAGATGGCAGTGATACCCATTTGCTCCCCAAAACCAAGAACAGGAGCTGGGGCCCCTGCCTGGCTGGGGCTGGCAGGAGGCCTGCGGTTACAGGGAAGTGGAGCGCCCCCTGCCTGCCTCATCCCTTCCTCTCCACCCCAGCCTCTGCCTCATGGAGCCTGCAGGACACAGTTCCTTAGAAAGGGGAAAGAAACAGCAGCGAAAAAAAGTGCTGGACCGCGCCAGCCGGGCATGAAATACACCATGCAACACGGTTCCGGGCACTGCCCACCCCCCGCCCCCACCCGCCACAGCACAGAATCATCAAGAAAGAGTACATTAGTCATGCATCAAATCAAATTCCATTGTGTCTTTTTTTCATTTTTCTTCCTTTTTTTTCTTAAATTACATTTGAACACAGAACACACAGAATAATAAATACTCTTGTAAGACATGACTCCAAAAAAACGAGAAACAGAACACACCAAAGAACAGAAAGTTATTCCTCTCGCTCCCTCTTTCTCTCTCTCTCTCTCCCTCTCTTTCCTAAAGGACTCGTTTAAATAAGAAATCTGTAAACGCCTGGTCCTCCCTCCCGCTCACGCTCTCAGTCTCTCCCGCACGCTCTCTGCCTTTTGCCGCTGTCACCCAGCTTCCGCTGCCCTGACATTCAATATGTCTCCCATGGAACTCGTCAAAGAAATGACATACCATCGTCTGCAAAATTATAATTTAACGGTATAAAGCTTCAAGTCACGTATTCCAAAAACTAGCTAAGGATTTTTTTTTAATCACATAAACTATACATTAAATATTCTGAGGTATTTCAGAGAAAATTGTCAAAGGCTTGAAGGAATTGTGCTGGAGGTGTCATTCCCTACGTGGAGAAAGATCTTTGGTACATGATGACCAACTGGGTGTTTGGGAGGGGCAGAGTGGGGCTGAGGGGAGACGGGGAAGGTTGGGGTACGGGTTGGTGGAGGGGCTTGGCGGGGTGGGGGCTGGTGGGTGTGCTCACATGAGCACACGAGTGTGTTCGAAGGGGACTGGGGAATCTGGGATGTTTCTGTGAGTCGGGTCAATGGGCTTGACCCTAAAGGACCACAGTTCGCCTTGCTGGAATGTTCTACAGTTAGAACAAGCCCACATCAATACCTGCAAGCAGGGGCTCTGGCCAGCGGGGGGCCCAGGTGTTCATGAGCAGGGGAAGGAAGGGGCCTGGGTCCAGCTGGATCCCAGTCCCGTGATCACAGACAGGACAGCAGTGCGTGTGCTCAGGAACGCGCCTGTGTTTGGGGGGGCAGGGGGCGGTGGCTGAGAGGAAGGGGACTCGGGATTCTGCCCCAACACCCAAAGGTTCCAGAAGCATCACTCAGATCTGGTTGCTTAAAAAGCCAAGAGAATAGCGAGTCGATAAGGACAAGAGAACATTTCACAGACATCTTTGGTTCAAGAAAAAGGCACTCATCGACATCACTATCCTTTCTCTCCCTGTCTCTCTCATTGTCTCGCTCTCTCGGTGGGGGCGGGCGGCACCTGGAGGGCAGGGCCCGGCGTGGGGCCTCACACACACCTGGTCCCCAGGTGAGGGAACTGAAGCATCCAGCACAAGTCCTTGGGGGAAATCTTTGGTATCAGGTGTGATTTTTTTCAATCACAGACATGAACGTTTGAGTGAGGTAGCCTTTACCTGGGGGGGCATTTCTCTAGAAATGTCTTTTGCATTCTCAAGGGGTGGGCGTGGCCTGGCCTCCTCGCTGGGAGGTGGCGGTTGGGGCAGGGTTTGGGGGGTGGAGGTTCCTTCCAGCCTTCAGATCTTGAACCCCCGACGGACTCTTGGGATCCAGCTGCCGGCCAGTCTTGGGGGGACCAGAGGAGACGAGCAGGAGGGTGGGGGGAGGGGCTGCTCGTCTTCATTTCTGACCCTTCCCTCCTAAATTTTTTTGGCAAAAAAACCGGAGCAAGCAGATTCCACCTTCTTCGGCATCTCTTTTCTCTCCTTGGAGAGAGACCTCGCCCTCGCAGTCACCCTGGTTGCCCTTACAATCCGGTGCCCCCTGAGGGCTAGGAGGCGGGGCGGTGAGTTCCAGAAGGTTCCAAGCAGACAGCAAGCGACCCCAAGACCCCAGCAAGCAGGGCCTCCGATGGGCGCGGCGCTGGGTTCGTTTCTCTGCGGAATCTGGCTTTGTCTTCTGTCTCCTGGGGTCTGTCTGTCCCTGTGTGTCATTCATTATTCAAGGTGCCTAAAAGTAAAGTGAACGGACAGCGGGGTCCCGAGGGAGGGGAGGCGACTGGAATGTACCCGCATGTTGAGCTTGCCGTGCCCTCCAGCCCCGGCCAGGGGTGGGGAAGGGTGTGCGCCCGAGGGTGCCGGATGGTCGCCGCTGCTGGACCCTCCCCAGACTTTAAGGCAGGCAATTCTTGGCACAAGGACTCCTGGCCGCCGGGGGAGCAGCTGGGTTCTTGGCTGTGGGGGCCGTTCTGCCAGCGGATGGGGGTCGGACGGGGTGCGGGGTAGGAGCAGGGATCCAACTCCACGCGGGGTCGGCGGCTGGGGGGGTCGTCCTGCCGCCCCCCGCGGGGGCGGGGCGGGCGGGGCTGGCGAAGGAGGAGTTCTTCTTAAAATTCCTTTTTTTAAATACCCGGTTTATATAGCTAGTATGTGCTTCTAGACCCGCTTTAAGGGACAACACGGTGAGCCCTGTTTTTCTCGAGGCCCCCTGGACGTCCTGACCTGGGAGGGAGGTGAGTCCCCCGCTCGCCCCGCTGCCCTCTGGGCGGGGAGGACCTCCTCGGGCCTGGCGGGGATTGGGGTGGGGAGAAGGGGCCCTTTTTGTGCACTTGGGATGGGGGGGGTGTGCTGCGTCCCCTCCCTGGGTGTGGGGGGCCCGGCCTGCACCCCTCCAGGCGCCCCTGGGGCGGGTCTCGGGCCAGCAGGGCAGGGGAGTTGGGGGGAGACGTGGGAGGGCGGCGCCCGGGCCATCGAGGCACGGAGGGCGCACGGCCCGGGCGCCTCAGGCCTTGGAGAAGGTCGAGGCGGTGCCCGCGGGGCCCCCGGGGGCCGCTCCAGGCTCCTCGGCCCAGCGGTTCATGCAGCGGCGCCGAGCGTTCATGAAGAAATTGCTGACGGTGTTGAGCTCCAGGCCGAGCTGCTGCGAGATGGTGACCTGCATTTCCTTCGAAGGCCGCTTGTTCTCCTTGAAGATGGCGATCAGCGTGCGCCGCTGCAGGTCCGTGAACACCAGGCGCTGCTTCTTGGGCTGCAGCGCGCGCTCCTTCTGCTGCTCCTGCTCCTTGCGCTTGCAGGCTGGGGGGGCGACAGCGCCACCGCGCGGCGGGCACCGGGGAGCAAATCGGGGAGCGGGGGGGAGGGGGGGTGGACACGACCAGGAGGCAGCAAGAAGGTGGTAGAGACAGAAATGGAAGGAGACGGAGGGCAGGCGGGCAGGGGCGGGCAGGGGCGGGCAGGGGCGGGCAGGCACAGAAAGGGAGAGGCGGGGTTGGGGGGGCGAAACAAAGAGAGGCACACGTCAGAGCACATCCCCGCCGGCGCCGCGCCACCGCGCCCTGCGTCTTCTCCAGGCCAACCCTTCCCCACCCTCCTGTTCCCAGCCCTCTCACCCCCTCCCGGGGGCTCCCGCCCAGGACGCTGACGCTCGTGGCCTCCTCAGCCACCCACACCCCCGGCTTGTGAGGGGAGTGTCACGGGAACTGCATATGCGAGTTACTAGGGGAAGAATAGGTCGTTGGGGCTCATCACAAACCCCAACAACCTCCCCCTGGAATGATGCCATAACTAGGTTCTCAAGGTCAGTAGCAGCCTGGCTCGCGGAGCTGTCCTCTGAGGCCTGGCCACACACCTGGTGAGTCCGGCCTGATTCTGGTGTCTGAGCTCCCACCCCCACCGGCAGGTTGAGACTCAGACCTGGCCTGCCTTCACCCTGGAGCTGGAGGATCTGAGGAGGAGCTGTAGATGTGGGGTCACCCCTCCCTTTCCTAGGAGGGTGCCAGGGTCACCTGGCACACAGCGGGAGGGAAGAGAAGGTTGTTGGTGGCTGCCTGTAGGGTCAATTAAGTTGCTTAGGCTTTTGCCCCATGGGCCTCTGTGGCTATCACCCGCACCTTGATCTTGGAACGCGAAAGGCGCGTTCCTGACTATGGACACCTGAGCGTGGGTGTGTGCGCATGTGCAAGTGTGCACACCTGAGCCTAGAGGTGAGGGCTCCAAGGGCGGAGTCACTCAGAGACTGTTATGGCAGCGTGGATACAAGAGGACGAGTAATGGTTACGAGAAGACAAGTGACTACAGAAGAGGTAAGACCACGAGAGCCCAGAGAAAGCATATGATTCATGGGGGGCTGGGAGGCTGGGTTGCCTCCCTGCCTCCCAAACCCTCCCGCCTGGCCTCCTGGCCTCCAGGCACCCCTGCCTTACCAGCCCGCAGGCTTGCTGTAACTCTGCCCGTGGCCACAATGTTTGCAAAGGGAAAACATGGCAGCCACTCACGGTGGTGGAGCGAGCCTGCAGCCTGCAATCTGGCTCCTCCCTGCCCCACCCTAAAAGTGGACCCTGTGTCCTCACTGGGATGGTAGGTGGAAGAGATGAGTTACACTGGCTAGGGTTGGGGTCCTCCTCACAGGGGTGGGAGAGGCTATATCAGAGCCTCTGAATGCTACAGAGCAGTAGGTGGTGGGGAACCTGCCTCTTCGTGCCTCCTGTAAAGCCACTGCCCCAGCTGCTCTGTCACTCTTAGAAGTGGTCAGCGGGGTAGGCTGTACTAGCAGATCCCTGCTGCCAGCCCTGGTGGTCTACTGGGGCCATGCATCAAGCTGGCTTTTTAGTATTGGAACAGTACGAGCCAGATAGCATGCCAGATTAATGTCCACACTGGTCCCCCCAAATGAATGTTCTCTGTGCTGTGTAGCTCATTTCTTGGGGACAACATATTCTTCTATGTGAACCAATGATGCACACTTTCCTCCCAGTCTCTGTGACCTGGGATAGCAGGCTCCCTTGACTGTGGTTGGTTTTATGATTAAATAAGAGTGGTTTTATGATTAAATAAGTTTACTGTTGTTGAATAAGAACAATTAAAGACTAAGAAAATGCTCTTAGAATTTGAATATACAAATAATCGGTATAAGGATTAGGACATAACATTAAGCAAATATCCCAGGAAATAGAACAAAGTAGATACAGAAGTGGAAAGATGAGAGAAAAATAAAAATAAAGTTAGAAGATGAATTGAACAGGTTTGTCATCTGATTAAGAGGCAATCCAAAACTAGAGTTAGAGATTACCAAATAGATAATGACAAAAAAATATGGTTGGGGGCCTCCCCGGTGGCGCAGCGGGTTGAGCGCAGCGCTGTGAAGCTGTCCGCAGCCTCTGCAGCACAGGTTCGATCCCCAGCCAGCCAGGGAGATACCCGCATGGTGTAGCAGACCCCTCCTGACTCGCCCGCTGCTCCCCTCAGCAGTGTATTTCCATCAGTCTGCCTGTTCTGTTCCCCACTCTGTCTCTGGTGAATTCTCTCACCCTCCCGCACATCTGGCCTGTACCCCAGTTCTTGTATAAATAAAAAAAAAAAGCATGGTTGGAGGACATCAAAGTCCAATTTTAAAAAGCCCATGAGTTGTTCAATTCAGTGAATGAAAAAAAAATTCCCTAAGGCTCATCCTTGTGAAGATGTAGATTCCCAGAATAAAAAGATCGCAATAGTGCTGAGAGGAAAGCCAGATGTCATGTAAAGGACTAGAATCAGGGTGGCTTTAAAGCTTCCCAAAATCTAGGAGAGTGAAGCAATACCTTCAAAATTCTGAGGGAAAATAAGATTAAGCTGCATTTAGATGCCCAGCCAGCGATCAACACAAAGGTGGAATAAAGTTGCAGGCAGATATTCAAGGTCCCCAAAAGTTGACTTCCGGACATCCTTTCCCAGAAAGCGACCAGAGGATGTGTTCCATCAACATGAGACGGTAAATGAAAAAAGGAAGGTGTGGGATTCAGATGTGATTCAACCGAGGAGAAAGGGCAAAGGAGTCCCCCAAATGATGATGAAAGGGGGAGGCTGGAGACAGTGGGACAAAGGCATCAAGGGCCTAGAGGGCAGCCCTGTCTGGCTCAGAGCAAGCTTGCAAGGGGAGTAGAGAGGGAGGATCTGATGTGTGTGGAAAATCCTATTGATTTGGTTTTGCATTTTGTTAAGGACTGTGAAAAGAACTTGTGTTTGGCAACGATTAACTCCTGGAAAACCAGTTGTCAAGAAAGGAAATGCCAATCCTATGTATGGCTCAGCTGTGGAGCATATTCATTGAAATCTAACAACATTAATACTGAGTATTAATTTAGGCAAAGATTGTGTTTGTAACTAGGTTGAGAAACTCAGTTTCTCAGGGTGCGGGAATGGATCCTGAAAGACAAAGCCAAACATAGTGATGAAGGGGTACCAGGTTGTTTGTGCACAAAACACACTTAATATATGTTCATATTTTATCTGTTTAAAGAAACATTACAAGGGGGCCTCCCTGGTGGCACAAGGGGTTAAGCACCGCACTATGGAGCAATCCGCAGCTTCTGCAGCATGAGTTCGATCCCCAGCCAGTGAGGGGGCTACCCACATGGTGCGGCAGATTTCTCTCCTGTCTCACCTGCTGCTCCCCTCAGCAGTGTATTTCAGTCAATCTGCCTGTTCTGCTCCCCACTCTGTCTCTGGTGAACCCTCTCACACCCCGCACCTCTGGCCTGTACCCCAGCTCTTGTATGCATAAATAAATGAATCTTTGAAAAAAAAAAAAGAAACATTACAAGGACATACAAGGAACTACCTTGACCTCCCATCTCCTTGGAATTTGATGGGTCTTTGAGGGTCTTGGAAGGAGACCAGGTCCCTCATTCTTTCAAAGAGAAATCTGGGTCCCAGACATCAAATACAAGGAAAGAGTAAAAACCTCAGCCCCAGACCTTTAAATTGCAAAGAAGGCCCTTCTCAACTATGTCTTGTTCTCTCTAATTCATTCCTGCACTCATGCACTCATTCATTCATTCCTTTGCTCAGCAGTCTACTCACGAATTCATAGGTTAGCAGTAGAGACAGAGATACAAATGCTTCTCAGAGCTTGCAGGAGTTTTACATCTCAAGAGTCTTAAGTGTATGTTCTCTTTCCACAGGGAGGGGATTTTCCTCCTTATTTACTCAGAGAAGGTAAACCACTTGCCCAAGGTTGCACAGCAAGTCCGGGCAGGGCAGGGTAGGAGCCAGAGTGGATAACCCTTGGGCTGTCTCTTCCTGGTACCGCCCCCTGCTCCCATCAAGTACCCCATGCCCCCCACCCCCATAGAGGCTGGGGAGGAGCCAGACGAAGGACAGGCAGGAAAAAAGTTTGAATTTTGTCGATCACAGCAAAAAGAGGCCCTGCTTGCTTCCCCCCTTTCTGGCGTTCAATCTAATTACAGTTCCTCACAGCCCAGATCGATCAGGGCTGCAGTCAGAGCTGTTTACCATGAGCAGCTTTTGTCATCACTTCCCTCCCCCACTCCCCCCTGGCGTGGGCCTGGAGCCCCTGCCCAGTGAGCTGGGGGGAGGCAGCCCAAACACTCCCCCATCCTGTGTCCATCACCGCCCGGGCCCCCTCAAGAGCCCCCCCCCTCCCCGCCCAGACACCCGGGATCACCCCTCCCCTGAGAGGCAGCATAGAGGCCACTGCAGTGCCTGGGCCCGGAGCCCCGGCCAGGGTGGGGGTGACTGTCAGCCCCTTTAATAGACGTGAACGCTGAGCCTGGGAGGCAGGGGCTGGCAGAGGAGCCGCATGACCTCCAGCCTCACAGCGCCCACCTCTGCTGGGCGGCATCTTCCATGCCAGCCACGCAGGGAACCCCGCCGGGCCCCCCTGCCTTGCCTCTGGGCCCTCACTCCCGCCCACCACCCGCGCCATCTACAGCCACCGCCTGTAGCTCCGTGGCCCGCGGCCCGCCCGCCTCCCTGCACTCCCATCTGTCTGCGTCACCCACTTTACCTTCAGCTCATCTTTATTTTTTAATTTAATTTTCAAATGAAATATTTGGGTGCCCCCACCAGGTATTATCTCCTTAATGCACCTACCCCCAAGATCCCCATGGCCCGCCCCCGAGTCCACTGTGCTTCCTTCCCACCTGGTTCTTCCCCTTCCACCCCCCCCACCTGCCCCGTTGCCTCTTCCACCCGGACCTCCTCCTCAACCCACATCACCCCCCACACGTACCCCTTCTCCCCATCGCCTCCTCACCGCCTCCTTCCACCTGCACTGCTGTTCCCCCACCGTCTCTGCC